TTTAAGCCATTGTAACGGATGAAAATTCGTCTTTATTCATTTGTATTTCGAGTAATAAAGTCCCTGCTTTTAAAAGTTTGTTTTTTAAAAAGTAACTTGCCCTAATCGAACCTAAAATTCGCGGAACAATGACGCCACATGGATGTAAATAATTTGTACTGTCATACTGTCATGTAATGTAATGTTGTTGTTGTATGCTGTGCTGTAAATAATGTGAAAAACATAAAGAAATTAATAAATTAGAACAAATCATTTATTTAAAGAAGAGTACGAATACTAATTTCATCCCCTAAACAAATCCCCAACCCCCAAAAACTACAGGTTATGGGCCCAGGACATCCAACGAGTTTAGCAGTTGAAAAATACAAGTAAGAACCAAAGAAAAACGTGGAAATTATGGCTGGCCACACAGCAAATAGTTTTAACATTGAGCTGTTGAATTCCAATAACTATCACACATGGAAATATAGAATGACTGTTTTGTTGGAAGAAAAAGAGGTAATAGATTTTATTGAAGTTGAATTTAAAGAAGAATATTATAGAGAGGAAAAAGAAAAGAAAGATGCAAAAAGGAAAGACAACAGATGTAAGTCATTCATTGTACAATGTTTAGGGGATAGTCAAGTTGATCTAGTCAGAGATTGTAAGACAGTATACAGTATGTGGAAAAATCTAGAGGATAGATACGAGAAAAAAGGTATTCCTGGACAGTTGGTATTGAGGAAAAAGCTCATGAGTATGAAGATGAAAGAAGACGATGATCTGGAAATATTTCTTGCTAATTTTGAGGAAGTTATAAGACAATTAAAGGCTGCAGGTGCAGATTGCAAAGAAAAAGATATTGTTTGTACTTTGCTATTGGCGATGCCAAAGTCTTTTGAAACCGTTTTAACAATATTGGAGAATGTCCCACCAACTGATCTCACATTAAATCTAGTTCAATCAAAACTGAGAAGTGAAATTGAAAGAAGACAAGCACAAAATCCTCGACAAAATCCAAATACTAAAACAAGGTTTGAAATGGAAAAGCCTGCAGTGTTTACAGGAAGAATGGTAAATGTAAATTGTCATTTCTGTGGTGAAAAAGGTCATTTTAAAGGAGACTGTCAAAAATATACACAACAATATTTAAATTCGAGTTCAAATTCAAATGCAGGAGGTTCTGGAATTTTTCATGGTGGTTATGTTCGAGGAAGAGGCAACTACAATAATGTGAACCGAGCACAAGGAACATTTAGAGGTCGAGGGAGTTTTAGAGGAAATCGAGGTTATGGTTTCACCGAGAACAGCAGCGGCAATCGAGATGGTTTTGGTCGAGGTCGATACTTTAATACGGAAAGAAGAGGATTTCATGTTCAAAATGAAGAAAATAGTGAAGACAAAGACGGTATTTGTTTTATATCAGACATAGAGGAATGCAATGATCAAAGCTATAATGTAAGTACTGATTTATTGTTTTGTGTAGATTCTGGGTGCACTGATCATTTAGTCAATAATAAAAATTATTTTTCTGAACTTTTAATGTTGAATAAACCAATACAAATTGCAGTTGCTAAAAGTAATAACTTTATGGAAGCAATTGGTGTAGGGCACATCAAAGCTATTAGCAATGTCCATGGTAAAGAAATTGTATGTTCCATTAAAAATGTTTTTTACGTTCCAAATTTGAGAAGAAATCTTTTATCAGTAAAGCGTCTTGAAATGTCAAACATTGAGGTCTTATTCAGTAAAGGTCAAGTTAGTTTATATAATGGAAATGATTTGATAGGACAAGGTTATAGAAATAATTTGTATGAAATTTGTTTTAGTACTATGAGAAGTGAAAGTTTATATTTAGAATCAGAAAATTACATTGCAAATTTATGGCATAAGAGGTTTGGTCATATTTGTCAATCATATCTTGAAAAATTGATTAAAAATAAATTGGTAGAAGGAATTGATGATGTTAAATTGGGTAAAATTGAATTCTGCGAAGCATGTGTTCAAGGTAAAATAAATCGTTCAAGTTTTGGCACTAGTAGTAAAGCAAATAGAATTTTGGAAATTGTTCATTCTGATGTAGCAGGGCCAATGACGCCAGCAAGTTATGATAATGGTAAATATTTTGTGACATTTATTGATGATTACTCAAATTTTGTGCATGTTTATATTATTAAAAATAAAAGTGAAGTTTTTGATTGCTTCAAAGAGTATTGTCTAATGGTTCAATCAAAGTTTAATTTAAAGATTTCAATTCTCAGAACAGATAACGGGGGTGAGTATATATCAAAAGATTTTAGAAATTTTTGTAGAGAAAATGGAACTGTCTTGGACTACACTATCAAATACACACCAGAACAAAATGGAAAAGCGGAGAGGTACAACTGAAGTTTGGTAGAAAAAGCAAGGTCGATGACATATGAGGCTGGAATGCCAAAAATATTTTGGAATGAGGCTATACGCGTAGCAGCTTATTTGATGAACAAAAGTCCTAGTGCAAATTTAAACAATATAACACCAGCTGAAATTTGGTTTAATAAAAAGCCAAATGTTGAAAATTTGAGAGTTTTTTGGTTCAATGGCTTATGCACATATTCCAGTTCAATTGAGAACAAAATTGGATAAAAAATCTGAGACATGTATTATGATTGGTTATAGCACAACTGAATCTAGATTATGGAATTTAGAGAAGAAAAAGGTTATAACAGCTAGAGATGTGGTTTTCAATGAGAAAGAGTTTTATTACAGAAGTAGAAACATTAAATTAGATAATGAAGAGGAGCAACAAGAGAAAGATGTTAAAAATGAAAATGATGAAGAAACAGTAGAAGAAGAGATGGAAAACAGAAATGAAGAATTTATGGAAGAACAGGATCAACAAAGTGTACAAGTCAACAGAACGGGAAGAAAAATTAATATGCCACAAAGATACAATGATTACGAATTATATATGGCTTTTGTACATAAATGAGGTATCAGAAACTGTAAATGAATTGAAGAATAGGCATGATGAACATTTTTGGAGAAGGGCCATGAACAAAGAATTAGAATCAATTGAAAGAAATGATACTTGGAGTGAAGTTGAAAGACCAGAAAATGCAGAAATATTAAGTACAAAGTGGGTGTTTGCTGCCAAACCATTTGAGGATAATATTGAAGATAGATTCAAGGCACGTTTGGTCGTGAGAAGATTCGCTCAGAAGGATTCATTCAATTATGACGAGATTTATGCACCAGTTACAAAAATGACAACTATAAGGACTTTGTTGTCAATTGGAAATCATAGAAATTATATTTTTCAACAACTAGATGTGAAAAATGCCTTCTTAAATGGACATTTGAGAGAAGAAGTTTATGTTTATCCACCAGACGGAGTTGATTGTAAAGAAGGATGTATACTAAAATTAAATAAATCGCTTTATGGATTAAAGCAAGCTGCAAAATGCTGGAACGAAGAAATTAATAAATGTCTTATTGATTTAGGTTTTAGAAGATCAGAGAATGATTATTGTTTGTATATAAAAGGAATTGAGAAGGAATTTGTATATTTATTGATATATGTTGATGACATTTGCATTATAGGACCGGACTTAAAATATATTCAAGAATGCAAACAGCAGTTAATATGGAAAAATTTCAGATGAAAGACAAGGGAAACTTAAAGCATTTCTTAGGATTGGAAATAGAGTATAATAGAGAAGATGGAATTCTGAAAATAAGCCAAAAGAGATATATAGAAGGAATTTTGAAGCGATTTGGATTTGAAAATTGTGATTCTGTGTCAACCCCAATAGATCCAAAGCTGAGGATAGATATAGAAGACAAACCTGGAGAACAGAAACCAGTAAAAGAATTAGTGGGATGTTTGATGTATTTGATGTTGGGCTCACGTCCTGACATAAGTTATGCAATAAATTATTTCAGCAGATTCCAGGACAAATACTCAAATGAAGTATGGACACATCTAAAAAGAGTCTTGAGGTATCTGAAAGGGACTGTTGACATGGAATTGACATATACCAGAAACAAGGAAAAAGAAATTCTTTCATTGTATGTGGATTCTGATTGGGCCACTGATGTGAAAGACAGAAAATCAGTATCTGAATACTTTTAGCTGACATGCTAACGAAAGGCTTGAACAGAATTCAATTTTACGACAATTGTAAAAGTATAGGTTTAGGATTCAGAGAGGGATAAATTAAGTTTATAGGTGTAGGATTCACCGAGGGATAAATCAAGTTTATTGTTATTTTTTCATGTTATTATTTTTCGATGATTTTTTGAATTTCAGAATTATTTTGTTTTTGTATTTGTTGAGCAATAAAGAAAAGCATTAAGAGAGGGTGTTGTGAGAACTAATGCTTTCCTTCAAATTATCGAAGCACCATATTTGTAATATAGCTATTACTTGTTAGATGGCGACACGTGTGATGTGGATGTAAATAATTTATACTGTCATACTGTCATGTAATGTTGTTGTTGTATGCTGTGCTGTAAATAATGTGAAAAACATTAAAAAATTAATAAATTAGAACAAATCATTTATTTAAAGAAGAGTACGAATACTAATTTCATCCCCTAAACAAATCCCCAACCCCCAAAAACTACTTATAGGGGGCCACACGTCAATGCTGCTTGGGGGACTGTAGGTTAGTTTATCGTCACCCTTATGCCTTGTCCAGAGGGGCGTTCCCAACGAGAGGTAATTGCACTGGACAACGATAAGGCTGAAGATACCCAGAGGGGCGTTCCCAACGAGAGGTACTTGCACTGGGGAGACTTAATTCCAGAGGGGCTTTTCCAACGAGAGGTACTTGCACTGGTTTAAGTCTGCCTTTGCGCAATTTATATCAATTTATTGCTGAATTGCAATAAACATCCGACCGAATCGGCAATTAAATTAATAAGGTTGAATACCGGGTCCTCCTTTCCTAAGCAGCTAGTTGACAATATAAACAAAAATGCTTGTTTTGATGTCCCCTACTACCCCTTAAAGTTTGTCAGTATCTTTTTGGGACACCCTGTATATTAGAATTCACTACAAAACGGGTGACGGAGCGGGACAAACCGGAAATCTCCTTCAACCACAATTAGTTTTTGCTAAATACCCCAAACGGTGAAGCCATAATAGGATAGTCATTCGCTAGAAAAAAAAAACAAACCTAATCTTAGATTTTTCAAAATTGAAGAATTTCTATTCATAAAATTATGTTGTTAGAAAAATCTTATCCATTCCGTCCAAAAAAAAAAAAATGACTTTATTTTTAAATAATCTTTCTTTAATTGTAGCTATCAACATAATAGTTTTTTTTAAATTATGCCCACTGTTCGGATCAATGACAGTTTTAAATTTGATATGGCTTCCCTTTTAGCAAAAAGGTAGGCATCTCAGTCTAAAATATTTAGGCACAAACAGACCATATTTTCTATTATCCACATAAGCTATGTTCAAAATTAACAATGTAACTACTGATTTTAAATACTACATTCCAGCATAATGTTTTTGTTTACTATACCAAAACCTAATGAACAAAAATGAAAGCTGCAACAAATTAAAGATTTTAAATTTACTACATAATAAATAAAAGAATAGGATATTTACAGTTTATAAAAATGTATAGGATAGTTACTCTGACCATAGCTTATAAGGTATTCAATAGTCATAGTCATATTATAATAATAATTATTATAAATTTTCTCTAATTAACCAACAATTAATTATTTTATAAAAAAAAAACGTGTGCTTTAAAAATTACTTACAAATTGAAACAAAAAAAAAAACATAATCAACTAGTATACTCAATGTTCGTTATCAAACTAACGAAGCCAATAATTTGTTAAAAAGTTCCAATTTTCACTATAAAAACAGTCAAGGAATGGCGCTTTCGTTCGCGATGGTTCACTATGTTTTTAAAATGTCAAACACCACTTTAATTATTTATTTATTGAAATCGTCCTGAAAATTATTAATAAGTTTATAAGTTCTTTAACAGTTTTTTTTTCGCACTAGAACACAAAACACTTTTTTTTTGCACTTTGTTTCTTTCTTCCATTATGCCAAATCCGAAAAGTGAGCCTCTAAGATTTTCGACTACTTTCTTTTGTAACTATAAGAATCCATATACCTACCATTTTTTTTTTTTTTAATTATTTTTAATATCCCTTTTCATTATGCACTTATCGCCAACTATTTTTAGTAAAAAAAATTATGTGTAGTAGAAACTTATTAAACAGTAAGAGAAGTTTTAGGTTTTTCTTAAAAGGTTATAAAATGTAAAGGGATTGTTGGGTATTTAATTTCTACCACTGCCGCCTCCTCCGCCTCGGCCACCTCGACCACGCTCCTAGAACAAAACATAATTAATTGCGAGCAACACAAAAAAAATCAATTCTTACCCTGTGATGATGTCCTCCACCACCATGATGTCCCTCTCTGTCCCCTCTTTCTGGCCTCGGTCCGCCGCGATGACGGTCGTCGTTCCGATCTCCGCCGTCACGATCCTGATGGTGGTTACGTGCTCCACCTCCACCACGATGGTGTTCACGGTGGTGCTGCTGCTGCTGCTGTGGCTGTTCATTGCGATTATTGGGATGACCTCCTTCAGGCGGATAATTTCCAGGCGCTTCTTTATGGGGTGGCACCTTGCGAGTGTCCTCTTCTTCTTGGCGTTTCTCGTAGTGGATAAAGTCGTCAAAGATGGAGGTGGAGTGACGAAAAGAATGCATGATTCGCAAAACCTAGAGTAGAAAAATATATTTATCCTAAGTTTAGCTATGATTGTTGCTGTGAAAGTTCAAACAAATTATTATTGATGTATTGTTTCTAAAACTGAGATTTTTCTCAATGTTGCTGCGTTTATTGGAAAAAAAATAAACAAAGTAGTTATATTAACCAATTGCTACGCTAATTAATAGTCAATTATCAACTATCTATTTTTTATATACTTTAATGAGCTTCTCACCATGATTTTTTAAATATATTATTGTATACCATAATCATAATCAACAATTTTCAAAACCGACACCTATGTCTGGAGTTTGAGTGCAGCCACGAATACAAAATCAACATCAGTAAAAACCAGTTATATTGTAAGACCCTATGTTATCATTATATTAATAATTCTCTTTTCCTATGTTAATTATAACCGTACACCTCTGTCAAAACTTATATTAATAAAAACAACTTAATCAGCGGTACTACACTGCAAGTATCACCATTCCGCCAACGCAAATGCTGGCATCAGCAGTTATTTCTTATAAATACAGCGTACAGAGCTTCCTGGAGCTCATTCTATTATTTCTTAGCCAGACTATAGTAATTAGAATCAGGTTCATTTGTTATCGACTTTCACGTCGCAGCAATTTGATCCACATATTTTCTTTTGTCACCATTGTATTTTAATTAATAAAATAAATGTTTTTTGAAAATACAAATTTCTGAATCGAAAATATAATTAAGTCGACCATTTAATTAGAATATTTGTTTATATTGGACATAAGATAAAAATCATAGGTAGATAAAATATAATATTACCTGTAAACCTCTAGCGTGAGGAATCTCTTGAGCGTCCCTGGAATTCGTTACCGGCTTATTTTCATTATTTTCTAGACGAATATGTCGTAGCTGGACGTTCGGCACGTCTTTAACATAAATCCAACGAACCTAGAAAAACGTATTTGGAAAAAAAGTTTGTCAAAAAAAACTGCTCACTTTAAATTGTCCTTTCCACTTGTCTTGCGACCACACAGAACTATTTGAATTATAGTCGACGGCCGACACCATTTGCGCCATACCACAAAAATGTCCAGAACCGTTTACGGAGAAAAATAAATGCACACAACCGTTGCCTTCTCTTTCCCTGTAAGCATGGTCCAACCTTTTGTTACCGTGCTCGGTACTACACCAGATTTCGTACTGAGGAATCAAATTAATAAATTATTATTTAGATTTTTTTTTTTGTTCAAATTTTTACCTTTATACTACGATGAATATCATCCTCAGAATAAGATTTGATAACGAAAAATCTAGAATTTGGCGCCGACAAATCAAATTCCGTAGGATTGTAGTTATTTTTAACCTTTAACTCGTCCAATACAGGATGACTAGTTGGCAGAGGAGTCGTCTGGGCACTCGGTATTATTATTTGATGGACTGGAGCTGGCATCATCCCCTAAATTAATTTATTTTATCATAAATCTAATAATTTTTGAAAAGTATTGTATACCTGTGTAAGGGTCGTTGGTGGCTGCATCTGGGAAGACAAATGCGTCGGAGGCATCATAGTCGGAGGCTGCTGTTGAAAAGCTGGCGGTAGCGGATGCTGCGGTCCCCGCTGTGGCGGTGGCGGTTGCTGATGCGCCACTTGAAGCGATTGTCTAGCCGGCTGAGGCGGCGGAGGCCCCGCCCAACCAGGCCGCATCTGCCCGCCTCCCAAAACTGGCGGCATCGTAGTTTTGGGTTGGGGCGGCAACGGCGGCGGAGCGCTTGTCATGATGGGCAAGGGGATCTGAGGCGGAGTACTCTTGTTGCTTTCCCACGTGCCGATATCGATATTGTGTTTGCCGGGAACTATGGGACCGGGAGGCATTCCGGGGCCTTTTTTCTTTAGTCCCTGACTCTGCACGGGCGGTTGGGGTTTAGCCGGTTGGCTTGCTATGCTCGCCCATGTCGCCTTCTTTTGTTGCTGCCCTAAGTCTTTACTATCACTTGAAGATTTCAATTCTAGCACCGAAAATTGACTAAAAATTTTTGCCAATCCTTATTGTGCACTTACCTAAGTTTTGCATTGCATGTTCGACAGCCTTAAGAGAATTGTCCTGGGGTAATGCTTGTGTGTATATGTTTTGCTGCGGGTCTCTGTAATAGTCTTCGTATTTGCGTTGTTGTTGTTGCTGCTGGCCTCCTAGTTGATTGCCCCACGTGTTGTAGTCGCCGCCGTTGCTGTGACTGGGAAAATAATTGAAAGAGGACGGGTGACCCGCCTGAAAGGCGGCCGTCGAAAAAGTTGTCGAAGGCCCGAACATTCCTGAAAAAGAAAAACACCTGTTTTCAATAACTTCATGGATGTCCCAATAAGAATCCATCTGTCAGTGAGTAGTGTAGATTAGATTTCCTACTGGAACAAACACAAACTGTTGCATATTGAAATTAAAATGGTGTACAACTAACTGTTATTTTGATAACTAAAAGTTATACCATCCATGGAGTAATCTTGTGGATAACTGCTCAGAAAGGTCACATCTGTACCATTTGACCAAGTCCCGTCGCCGTAAGCTTGATACGGATACGGGCCTCCACTTCCGTAATAACCTAAAAGTGCAAAAAAAGCACATTTAATTTACAATTTTATGAATATGAACAAGAAACAAAAATCCCTGTGTGCTGTGGGGTTTGTATAAGCTAATATAATAATATGTTATCAGATTGAATACCTAGAAAATAATTAACAAAGATAAAATTCATTAAATATTATTGTCTAATATTATTTGATTGCATATCTATCAATATTATTGATAAAACACAATTACAAATTTTGTTATATTGTTCCACTATAAAAAATTTTACCATTTTTAGAGAAAAGATATTGGTATTCTGTATTATACCTGCTGTGCTCATATTGTAAATATCTGTGGCACTGGAAATCGGCACTGTGGCTCCGTAAGCGGTGTGAGCGGCAGAGTTTTGTTGCTGAGTCCTCCATGGTTCAAATTCTTCTGAGCCTGCAGCTCCTTCGCCAGCTCCTATTTGCTCTTTTGATCCATTGGACACTAGAGAGAGTGAAATTAACAATCAAGACTTTTCAAATAATAAATAAAAAAACGTTTATTATGCAACATAACAAAAAAAAAAAATTGCATCACATAATCACATAAAAGGAAACATTCACATTCACATAATTTTCTTCCATGCTACCTTGTTTTGGAAAACAATAATTTTACAAGTTATGTATTTATTTGTTGTAGAAGACAAGACATATATTTCTTTTTGAAATTAACAATTGTGCTTGAAGTTATTAATAAATATTATAAACATCTGAATTTGAAAGTTGTATTGCTTGAAAAGAGAAAGAGTTTCTAAATTTTGCTGTTTTATGCTGGAGTATGTGAAAGCAAACCATATTTCTTAGACTAAGATTGTGTAAGTCTTGCCTCTCGATAAAATACTTCACCAAGTAACTCGGGAAGCCCAATTTGAAAATTTTACAAACAAATTGCCCAAAATGCAGGAGAGCATGTTGCTCATATTTCAATATGCTGTTTACTAAATATGTGGGAGTTACATGATCAAATTTCCTTAAACAGAAAACAAATCTTATACAATAATTTGTGCTAGTTGAATTTTGTTTCTATATTCAGAGCTAAGATAATGGTAAAAAACTACGTTACAGTAGTCCAACTGAGGAAAAATTAGTGCTGCAACCAGAATCAGTTTAACCTCACTAGGTAAGATATAGACTTCTTAGCTTGGCATATACAAATGACAGCTTCTTCTTCACGTGTAGCTGAAAGTCGAGCCTCTCATCAAAGGTAACTCCCAGATTCCTAGTCGACTCTGCAGAGGGCAAAATAGTTACATTAATATGTAACGTCATAAAGTTATATTGGAGAAATTGTTGCCTATTATTATTTGAACCTATAATCATATAGTGACTTCTTGTTGCATTTAGGACCAAGCCATGTTTTGTTGACCAGTTATATATTTCCTCTAGATCATTATTTACGCTCTGCATAGGCAGACACGAATCCTCTGGAGTAAGACCAACCAGCAGCTAGGTATCATCAACATAGAGGTTGGCTGAGCAAGTCCTAACCTGCTGTGGAAGGTCACTTATGTAAATATTAAATAATAAGGGGCCAAGTACACTTCCCTGTGGGACCCCTAGTGACGTCTCAACAGGCTCCGATCTTGCCCCCTCAAGCTCCACAACTTGTGTTCTTGGTTAGAGATAGGTAACTACCAAACCACAGACAGACCCTCTCAGAAAAACTATAGTACCTCATTTTCGCGACTAGAAGTTCATGATTTATTAGGTCAAATGCCTTACTGTAATCCAGTAGGACCAAGCAGGACACTTTCAAGGAATCAATGTTTGTAACAATTTCTGTAGTGACATTTGTAAGCCTGACTGTGTTACAGGTATATTACTATGATTATCAACAAATTCCAAGAGAATATCTGATACTATAAATTCAAACATTTTTGCAAACATTGGCAGCAGACAAATGGGCCTCAGCTCAGAAAAATTTTCTATTTTGTTGTTTTTTGGTAAAGGCCTAATCAAAGAGGTTTTCCATTTTATTAGAAGCTCTCCTGTTTTTATAGATCTGTTGACAATTTCAGCAACATAAATATTTATACTAAAAATTATTATATTGTAGCTTATTTTATCTATGCCCATGCTTTTTTGAGTACATCATATCCAGAAATTTTTCCAAAATCAAGTGTATTATCCTCAGGTTTCTCAAACCTGTTAGAATTGAGGAGAGTATCATCAACCGCAACAGCTAACTGACTCACATTCCCGAAAATAAGAATTTATAGAGGTTATAAGCTAACTGAAATAGCTTATAGTATAGTTGGATCCATATTGCGTGTTATAGCTGATGCATGGATTTGAAATCACAAGTTTTTTCAAAATGGTGGCAAGAAGTAGTAAACAGGTGCAATTGTTTGAACTTTTTTCCAGATTTCTAGTGAAAGTAGTTAAGAAAATATAAAAACAAAATTTCTCAAAGCTAAGGTAGGGTTCATAATTTATGAATAATATATATTTACTGTATAGGTAATAAGATACATTGTAATACATATTTATAATTGTTTTATCTCTTAAATAACGGGCATAAACTTTTTAAGGGGGGGTGTCAACTATTGGAGCCCAAATCGAGGGGTGAACCAAATGTTGACACTAGTGTCAACTTATGGATTTTTAGCAGTAAAAATATTTTGACATTGTAGTCTGTCTCTTTTTATTACTCTGGATTAAAAAGAAACCTAGATATGGATTTGGGAAATGTAACGGTCGTAGATCCAATAGATGACACCCCTGTTACCCCTGTCAATGTTTGGAACTTTAGAGTGTCAATAATTGGTCCTTCCAGGTTAAAATCAAGAGATGACTTATGAAAAATGGAAATTGGTGAAATATGCACCAGAACTACCAGAAGACGTGATTGCTGTGTTAGATGATTGCAATAGGGGGTATACTGTAACTACATCAGGAAAAAAACACAATGTACCAATGCTTTCCAAGCAATTTCTTTTATTACCAATTTAGAATTGAAATTTGTATTTTTTCCCAACAAAAAGTTTCCGAATCTGATTTTTTATTAATAAAAAGTTTGATTCTTACATTATTGATGTTTCTACCAGGGTTTTTACTGATACAGGCAACATGTCAACTATTGGTTTCAAAAGTGTCAAGTATTGGAACCACAACATATATTTTTAAAAAATTAAAATAATTGGTTATTATGTGTATATATTTCATTTAAAAAATTTTACACTTAGAAAAATATACTTCTTAGTTCCACAGACCGTGATAAAATAGACCGATCTCCTATTACCTGGACTGCGCGCGTCGCTTGTAGGCTGCAGATGAGCGTCCAATGAGAAGCAAGTTTGGTACAGGTTTGCGTCATATTCTTATTCAGGGGCCAGTTCAGAGTGAATCGTTCCTTCTTTCTTTGTAACGTGTAATTCGACAAAGAGCAAACTAATACTTTACATATTACTTGAACTCACCGCAGTGTCGTTCAAGGTTTTGTCAGATTATACTTGACATATTCCTTTGCAATTTCATTGTGCAATGTTGCCGGATGAAACATTTATCAAAATAAAAGTGTAAACGATGTTAACATAAACTTTTCAAGCGCTTCTTTTGTTTGATTCAAGGCGTTGTAAAACACTTGACACTATATCACTTCTTTAATGTTATAATGTTCGATTTGTATTGTCTTTATTTCTTCTGCAACAATACAATCTGGCTACACTGAACCTACGAGTTGCGCGCGCATGTCATCTTTTATTACTTTCTAACTTGTATTTATTACAATTAGGCTCTCTTTCTCTATTTATGCGAGACAGGTCTAGTTTGAAATCATGCCAAAAAATATATCAAAGCCTTGGGGTTGAAAATTTGGAAAATGTGTGGTGATCATAAGCAAGGATATTCTTAACATGTCAACAACTGGGTACTTTACCTTAACTAATTTGATTAACATTTTTCAAGTGTTCAGGTAACTCACTATTAGTTTTTGAGTGAATGTTCCAGTTACTCACATCAGACCATAATTTTTTTTGTGTTTACTAAGTTCAAAGTGCATGTATGCTTGTTTTTCACTGCGAATTGCAAATGATAAGTAGTTATTGATGTCTAAATAAAAAGATTTATGCTCCACTAGGCTTGTTCTTTTAAATTTCTTAAATGCTTTTTCCTTTAATTTAATGATTTCCCTTGCGGTATCCGTAATATATGGTCTATATTTATGTTTTATGACAGCAGATTTTAGTGGAGCGTGCCTATCGAAAATGTCAGTTAACTGCTCGTTGAGTACTACCACCATATTATTTACAGATTCTTGTTGCATGATTGCTTCATAATTTATATGCTAGGAATCTTGCTCAAACTCGAGTTTATTAAAATGTTTAGAATCTCTATATGTAATTGTTTTTTAACTAGTTTGGGAGCTACAATATTTACTAGAGAATAAACTAGTCGATGGTCAGTCATTAAGCATGCCCACAGTGCCACTATTAAGAACATCTACATTATCATTTACAAACTAGACATTTTCTACACTAGATAGAGAGTGATAAAAAACTAACAGGGGTTTATATAAAGTACCTATTAGCAATGTTTGTTTCTACATTTTACTTCTACCCACAATTGTTCCAGTGAGTCACTTGTATGTACCTCTGATATGTTAATTGCCAAACTTTGCAAACAATTCGATACATACAAGCAAATACCTCCCCCCCTACTAGCTCTGTCTGCTCTGATTAACTTATACCCAGGAATATTCACGAGGTTACCAAGTTATTCTTGTGTAAGCCAAGATTGAGTTATTCCAAAAATATGAAATTTTTGTTCTTGCAACAGCTCACAGATATCAGGAAAGCATGGAACAAGGGATCTGATGTTAACATGACCAATACATAAATTATGATCAATACTGCTATTAGTTTCTGGTACGTTTTTCAAGTCCTCAACATTAAGATGAAGCACTGATGATTGAGCATCAATATTTATTTTACATTTTGTTTGGTTGGAGGAATTTTGTGATGTCAATTTATTAAATTCATATTTATTTCTTAAGTGTAATGAGGAAAAATTGCATTATAATATAATATAACAGAGTTGGATAAGTATTCAGTATTTAGAATAATCACAACATAGTACATGATTTCATTCTTTTTTACAACATTTGAAAAAACGTATTTTGTTATTTTACATTATACTGGTTGCGTTAAGTTCTCAGGTCTCATAACTATAAGTACTTTTCCCACAATTATTGTGGGCTTCATAAATAAATAAATAAGTAAGGAATTAACACTCAAGAGTTAAAATATTCCCATTCCATCCACATAATTAATTTACTATGTAGAATAAGAAAAAATTTCTTGGACAAAATTACTTATTTACTATGTTAACTATTATTGTTCCACCATATTATACATGGTTGATAAGGGAGATATAAGTAACATTATAATTTAAAAAAAAAAAAACAAAATCAGGCATTGAAATGTGTCTTGGGATGTAATAAATATAGCAGAATAAGGAACATCTTAGAAAGATACCAAGGGGTAAACCACCTTGAAAAATGTGTATCCAAGGAAATCATACTGGAATTCCATAGAATACCTAGACAAACCTATTGAATCTGTGAAATAGTTGAATGATGGTTTTCTTCTCACAGATACTTCTGCTTTGTAAAAATTTTCCTTCAAATTTCTTCTCTTAATTTCTGAATATTTCCGCCTCAATTTTTGTCTATTCCCTGCTCTTGAATTGAATCTCTACATAAAGAAAATTCAAGATCCTGGAATAGAAACAACATTTAAGTCTACTTATCTACTTCATTTTTCCTTAATGTCTGCTTTTCAATTATCAAACTTTTGTCTTTTCCCGGCTCTTCAAAAGCCTCTCAATACATATAAGAGCCGGTTCATTAACTTTTTAATTAACTGTCAGGTAATGCAATCTGACAAATAAAAACGCAATATGTTATCCCATTGGTCAACAAATTAACGAGTAACCAACGGGATTATAAATCTGTTAATTTATTTTGCAGATAGTTACCAGCAAATTTATCTCAAGATGAATAAACTGGGCCTAAGATAGAGAACATTGGATGTTAGCGAATGCAATTTTAATACAAAAACAGATCTGCGAAAAAGTCATCTCTGATTCAAATCTATTCAAACATTCAAGACGCTTTCCAGCAGGTCCTTTTTCCTATTCCAACAAACATCTCAACCAGCAAAGGTTAGTCATTATGACGTCGATTTTAAATAGATTTATGTCGATTAATCAAAATTCGACGTCGTAAGGAGGTTGCAAAATATGACTTGTTTAGGACGTCACGTAGTGGACGTTTATTTGACCATGACATGAACCAACAGGTTTAAAACTTACCATGTAAAACCCAATATAACCCATTTAATAAAAATACCCTGTATTAGGACATTTATGAAGTGTCCATTTGATGTCGTTAAATTGGACTTATATTTTGTCAGTGTTGAACATTGAAAAGTTATATATCTACATAATAATACATATTATCTGATGCATATATTAAATATACCTACAGTGGGTACCTACATAAAAAAATGATTATTGTTTTGCACTAAGCAATTTTGGAAATTTTTGCCACTCGAATAATGATCATTCTCAAAAGGTTTTTCATTACATTTTTGAAACAATCTGAAATTGTTGTTTTGTGCATTTCTTCCCTAAAGAAGGATTTGTTTACTTCAATATTATTATACCTACCTAATTGATGAATCATCATTAGAGTAAGAAAAAAAGGGATCAGGGTAATGTAAACAAGCTATTGTACCTTTCTTTTCGTATCTATTTTTTTTATATTCCTCATTTAGCAGTAGACTATTGAGGAGGAATAAGCTATTAAAAAAATAATAATTTCTTAAGCTATGATCCTAACTGCCCTTCAAATCAGAATTTTGGTAAGCTACCCCTAGTTGAGCATGTTTAGTATTAGACTTTAAGCATTTTGCTGTAGATGTTTTCAATAACAAATGAAGTTGCGTTTCACTGATATTCAGGGCAACAAATTATGGTTTGATTATTTCTTGTTGGTAATTGGTGTCCACTGGGGAAGCCGTCCACCATAATATGTTAAGATCCCATTTGTTGCACGATTATACTATTTAAGGTAAGTGTAGCAGTGGGGCACTACCGAATAACCGCGAGAAATGGTTAAATTATGATTTGCTTTTGGGTGTCAGCTGTACAATGTAGTTCCAAGTGAATTCAGCCTAGTGGGGCTTTAATAGAACAGATGAATGCTAGAAAGTTAATTTTAAGTTGATTTGAAGCTCGAAACTAAATTTGGAAGCTTTTTCTTATGTTAATGCATGCAAAAATGATTAAAATCCGCAAAAATTACTTGCGCAAAATACTTCCAATGATTACAGTGACTTGAAACTATCAGGATCTATGAATTGAAGTTCCCTCTTTATGAAAAAATCAATTTGAAATTGATTTGAAGCTCCAAATTAAATTTCGAAACTTGTTCTTAAGTTAATGCATGCAAAAATGAATAAAATCCCTTGTGCAAAGTACTTCTAATGATCACAGGATTTATAAATTATTGAAGTTTCTTTTTTGAAGACAAGTTAATTTGAAGCTTCAAACTAAATCTGTGAGATTTTTCTCAGGGTAATGCATGTTAAAATTATTAAAATCTGCAAAACTCACTTGTGCAAAATACTTGTAATGATCACTGACTTGAAACTTTCACGATTTATGAATTTAAGTTTCCTCTTTGTGGAACAGTTGATTTGAAGCTTGAAACTAAATTTGAAAGCTTTTTCCCACATTAATGCATGATTGAAATCTGCAAAAATCACTTATGCAAAATACTTCCAATGATCACAGTGACTTGAAATTTTCAGGATTTATGAATTAAAGTTTCCTCTTTGTGGAAAAGTTAATTTGAAGCTCCAAACTAAATTTGAAAGCTTTTTCCCACTTTAATGCATGAAAAATGATTAAAATCTACAAAAACCACTTGTGCAAAGTACTTCTAATGATCACTGTGACTTGAAACTTTTGGGATTTATGAATTAAAATTTCCTCTTTGTGGAAAAGTTAATTTGAAGTTGATTTGAACCTTCAAACTAAATTTGGAAGTTTTTTGTTAAATTAATGCATTCAGAAATGATTAAAATCTGCAAAAATCATTTATGCAAAATACTTCCAATGATCACAGTGACTTGAAACTTTTAGGAATTATGAATTGAAGTCTCCTCTTTATGGAAAAGTTAATTTGAAGCTTCAAACTGAATTTGGAATCTTTTCCTACATTAATGCATGCAAAAATAATTAAAATCTGCAAAAATCATTTGTGCAAACTACTTCTAATAATCAGGAATAATGAATTAAAGTCCTTTTCATATGGAAAACTTAATTTGAAGCTCCAAATCAAAATTTCTGAACTGAAACTGAATTAGATTTTGAGCTAATGAGTACAAAATACATTTCATGAGTAATCTAAGTTCTACTCATTTTTGAACCTCTTGTCGTTTTGACACTGATCAGTTCTAATATAAAAATGATGAGTTTCTGAACTACAGAATCTGGAATTCCACATGCTTGTACAAATAATTCCAATGCGGTTTACTCCTTGAAAGATACCTTCTATTATCACAAATATGCCATGTTTTTAAAAAAAAAAAAAAAATTTCAAACTTTAACACCCTGTATCTTAAAAACTAAGCATTTGCGGACCTTAACTTTTTTTTACTTCAATGACTACTATATTATTTATCGTGGAAGTTTGATCCCACTATTCAGAAACACCCTGTATAGTAGAGAACCATAGTAAGTTATGACAGTTATATTGTACCTGCTATAATGTAATGATGTATGTATTTTTTTAGCTCATGCTATTAATTAAGAAGATTATTATTAATTATATTATTACGAGGGGTCAACCACTTATCGAAATACGTGTACACTTGGCCTGAATTACCTCCGAAATACTTTGAAGTACCCAGAAATATCGTGAAGTACCTCGAAATACCAGGTATTCCCGTCGAAGTACGCGAAATCCCATGGAATTACCGTTGAAGTACCCGAAATACCCTCGAATTACCGCGCGAAGTCACGCAATACTTTTAAAAAAATTCTCGTTTATAACGATTCTTCTTGTGGATCACAGTAAATAATTTTTGCTCAAATTTTTGTGTCTTTTGATATGATGGATTTTATTCGGACACACAAACTACAATTAAATCAATTGTTGCAGGAATAAGAATAAAACATTAAAATAAGATAAAAACAGCTATCGGAATATCAGATATTTTCAACAGAATGCATCATCATCGTACAAAAAACAGGCTGTTTCATTCATAAAACCGCTCATCCATGGTGTAACTCTTTGGTTTTTGGTTCAAATGATTTTTTGGTACCATTTTTGAGTTCTTCAGAAAAAAATATTCCAATTGACTATTTTCAATTTTCTCAAAAATACAGGGAAAGTCAAAAATAATCCCTTGTCAACCCCTGTTCAGTCCTCGTTGGATGACCGACGACCTTGTACTACTATTAACAACTTTACTGATACAGTATCTATTCGTTACAGAGTTCTAGCCCTGATTACTTAGACATATTGGGTAGTATATCTTTCCATTTGTTCCAATTAATCTGCAGTAAATCCAAATTATGTCAACATATGTAGCCCTCGATTTAGCCTGTTCGAAGATGGACTATAATTTTTATTCTATAATATTTCAATTTTGGATGATAAAGAATTAATTGTTCTCGGTACATAAAAAAAAATACTAATAATTTTAAATAGCGCGAAATACCTCGGCTTACTGTGAAATACTTCAAATTACTTTGAAATACTTCGAATTATTTTTCCATGTTTCGCACGATATACGTTAAACGTTAAACTTAGCTGGAAATACGACATGGCTCTGTGTAAAATGTTTCTTTCTATGTATGGTACTTATAATATAATGTTTGTATTTTATTTTATTCTGTTACATTGAATGTTAAAGGCAAACACATAATGGCTTTAAATTGCTCTATTTACCAATCTGAGTGCTTATTTAAGCGTCGCCCTAATGCGAAAGATGGAGAGATTTTCGGCACGAAGTGCGACGTATGCCAAGTTACAGTATGTAAAGAATGCGCAAACTTTACAGCTAGTGAAATTGATGCATTATATGTCCAAAACAGGACCATATTGTTCTTTTGTGAAGGATGCAAAGCGTCATTGTCAGACATGGAGCAACTATCTAAAAAATTTGATCAACTTAAGAAAGACCACCTTGAATCTGATCTTGAAGATCTGAAAAGCAGTTTTCAAGAAGAAAATAGGCGTCTTGAAAATATTAGTAAAGCAAAAGATGATCAGATTAAGCGTTTACAAAAAAGTTCTCAGTGCATGGACCTTGAAGTTATAGAAGCTGAACAGAACTTTGAATCTACCATTAAGGCACAGCAAATGGAATTGAAACAAAGGAATAACAAACTACTTGAACTTACAAGAAAAAATACTGAACTGTCCAAAGAACTAAAACTAATCAGCAAAAAATTTGCAGATTTACAAAGTGAAATAATGGAGCTTAATAATCTAAACAATACTCTCTTAAAAAATATATCTTCTTTATCACAAGAAAATGACAAATATGTTCAAGTCTCAATGAATTTAAGGAAAAAGGTCAATGACAAATCAAATTTTTCATGCTCTGACGCAGCTATTCAAACAGACAAAATAGCAGCTACTCAAAATAATACTCTGCCCAATGAAAAAATTGAACTGGATACTGCTAAAAATGAAAAACCATTTGCAAAACCAGCAAGCAAACTCCTATTGTTATGCGATCAAATGGGTAGAGGACTGGATTCAAAGTTAAGATATTTGCTTGATCTAACCAAATTCAGTGTACCATATGCATGTTTCGAAGCAGTGACCAAGAATGTGAGTCCCTTAACAAATAATTTTGACTCTAATGACCATGTAGTGATTATGGCCGGCTACAATGATTATTCTCTTAGAAACGTAGCTCCCAATTATTCGTCCATATTAAAATGCCTAAAAGAATGTACCCATACCAATGTAATAATTTTGTCACCCCCAATTTGTTTTAAATGTCCAAACAATTGTATGGCATTTAATATTAGACTTAGGAACTTGATTTACAATTTTGACAAATGTACTCCAAATAAATTAAATTTTGTTGATATCTACGATAACAGAGGAAGAAAGAATACTAATTTTAAAATTTCTGAAAAAATCTGTAGTCTGGTCAATTTTTCTAACATTAAAAATCTAACTTATATCAAGCTTGATGAAAATATCAGTAATCTTTCAACTAATTATTCTGAGAGTTTCAATAGCAGCACATCAATAGGTGATTTCTCATGCATATCAAATAACTCACAGTTTATTAATAACTATTCTTCCAATGAGAGATCTCCTGGTGTACAAAATTTTCATCAAGCAGAACAAGTCCAAATAATAACCTAAACTTAACTATATTTTATCAGAACTGTGGGGGAGTAAAAACTAAATTAGATAGTCTTAAGTACAATATTCTAAATAACAATTATGATATTATTGCTTTAGGTGAAACTTGGTTAAATGATTCCATAAATACTGCAGAATTTTGCTTCTGTAATAGAATTACATTTAGAAAAGATAGGAATGGTTCTCTTACCAGGAAATTTCAGGGTGGTGGTGTCTTCTTGGCGGTAAAGAATTTCTACGATGTCTCTGAAGTAAGAATGTTTGATGATGAACAGGAGGCACTATGTATCCAGATTAAACTGAAAGGTAATCAAATTTTGTTCGTGCCAAATAGTCCTAGGGAGGTTTATGAAAGGTTTTATGAAAAAATTGAAAATAATCTAATTAACATAGATAATTCTGAAGTTATTGTTATAGGTGATTTTAATATTCCTGGATATGTAAACACTCTTTCATGCAATAGCATAGTAAATGACCTAAGGGCATTTCTTGCTTTTAATCACTGTCAACAAGTAAACCAAATTAGAAATCAGAATAATGTTATCTTGGACCTTGTACTTGCCTCCTTTGATAATGTTTGTGTTGAGTCTACGGGTGATTTTCTAGTACCAGTAGTCAGGCACCATCCTTGTTTGAGTGTGGGTTTGCTGACAGGATCTCCTGCCAAATTTTGTAAAATTCAGCCCTCAACCAAATTTAATTTTAGAAAAGCAAACTTTTTATAGTATGTACAATCTTTTTCAAAATCAGGACTGGGATTTCCTTTATGGTATTAAAAATGTTAATAGGGCTTTGGAAACTTTTTATAGGACTTTGGAGAGCATTTTTGTAAAATGTGTTCCAAAATCAACACAAGGTGACAAAAAGTATCCAATATGGTTCAATATTGAAATAATAAAATTACTAAAAGAAAAACATAAATCTCGAATAAAATCAAACAAAACTAAATCTCTTTATTGGAAAACTAAATATACTAACTTAAGAACAACAATTAAAAATAAAATTCAATTAGCCCACGAAAAATATTTGATTGATGTTGAAAATAGCTTAGTCTCCAATCCTAAATACTTTTGGTCATACTTAAAGGGTTTAAAGGATAGTCCTGACTTACTTAATGAAATGAATTTAGATAATAATATTTACTCAGGCACTCAGAACGTGGCAGATGGGTTTGCTGGCTTTTTTAAGTCAGTTTATGTGGATATTGGACAAGTCAATTGTGGCTCAACTAAAGTGCAGTCTCATTTTTGTGAAAAAGTAATTACAAAGGCGGACATTGAAAATGCCTTGAAGAAAATTAAACCTAACAAGGCAATCGGACCTGATGGTGTTCCGGCCTATATTTTTAAAGGTTGTGCTGAGCATTTATTGAGCCTCCTTCAGTTTTTATTTAATTTGGTCATCAAAACCTCAATATATCCTAATAAATGGAAGGTAGCCAAGGTCATACTAATTTATAAGAATGGCATAAGGCAAGACATTAGAAACTATCGCCCTATATCTATTGTGTGCGCTGTATCTAAAATATTTGAGGTCATAATTTTTGAGATTTTATATAACAGTTGCAGCAAAACTTTTCCCCAATCAGCATGGTTTTTTGCCAAAGAAGTCAACATTTACAAATCTGGCATGTTTTTCACAATATATCCATAATGCCTTAAACAACAAAACTCAAGTTGACATAATTTATACAGACATGGAGAAGGCATTTTATAGAGTTTAGTCACTGTGGGATAATAAATGCCTTGTCTAACATGGAAGTTTCTCCATTTTTAATTAAACTTACGTTATGTTGAGATTAAAGGCTGTAAGTCTGTTCTATACTAGAATACGTCGGGAGTACCCCAGGGATCTAATTTGGGACCATTACTTTTTATAATTGCTATAAACAGCATTCTCAGCAATGTTAAGGGCAGTATGGCTCTTTTGTTTGCCGATGATTTTAAACTTTTTTTGGAGATTATTTCTTCTATTGATTGTGAATTGTTACAAAACGAATTTTCTAATGTTGTTAATTGGTGTCAAGAAAATAGTTTTAAATTAAATTCAAGCAAGTGTGCTTATATGTCTTTTACACTTAATAAGAAAACAATAGATTTTAATTATACCATGAGTGGCGAAAAACTTGATAAAGTTAGTAAGCAGAAGGACTTGGGAGTCATTTTTGACAGCAGTCTTTCATTCTCTGAACACATTATAACAAAGATACAGAGCGCACAGAGGATAGCAGGTTTTATAGCACGCAATACTAAGACTTTTAGGGTTGATGTAAGCCTTCATTTATTTGATAGTCTGGTGTTGCCTATCTTGGAGTATGGGTGCTTGATATGGTCGCCCCAATATAACGTATGGATAAATATTATTGAGGGAGTGCAAAGAAAATTTTTAAAGACTATGTATTACAGAAGGTTTGGAGTCTACCCTCAGAGGGGTTGTGATAATGGAGTTTTCAATAGACTGTCTTTGGGTAAGAGACGTGTGAAGATTTTCCTATGTACTATGTTTAAAATTCTGAAGGGTGACATCAACTATCGACTGCCCTGATATCCTTGAGCAATTACCATTTTCTGTAAATCGTTGTAATTCTAGAACCACAAATATCTTCTACCTAGCTTTTCCACGAACCAACCTATTTAAATGCTCCCCCATTTATGGTCTTTGCAATCTTTTTAATTTGTATGCATCTGACATAGACATAGACCTGATAAACTTTAAAACATTTAAAAACTTAATTGACAAAAAATTGCGCCAGAGTTAATTTTGGGTATTTGCCGGATCCTAGTATAAATTTTATCAATAGTTAATTTTATTAGTTTTTCTATTTTAAATTTGCTGTAATCTGTGGTCTGTATACCTGTTTGTACTTACCGCATCGTATATTTTATATTTTAATAGTTATAATGTCTTTATTTTATCATGTTATCCGATTTTATCTATATGTAGCTTAAATTATTTGTCTTCTTCTTGAAGTCCTCCATAAGGCTAAGTAAACGCGATTTGTGCTCCATAGTTTTTTGTCTTTTTACCTTACATAAACTGTCTTTTTAAATGTCTGTTTTATATCTTCTTTTTTGTTATTAAGTGCTCTTTGTAGTGCCGTTATTGAAATCAAGCTGAGTATAAAGATTTAATACTAACCAAAAACAATAGTAGTGTTCTATTTATATTTATTTGCATTGGGATTAACTGATAAGAAACCCTGAGCTGATAAATATTCAAATTTGTGTTTATGGTTTTGACGCTCATAAGCATTTTCGCACTACATCTAAATAGCGTTAGCGTAAGACTCTATATGTCATTATTTTTAAAGTAAAACATCATGGAGAAATCTTTTAAATGTTGTAGAAATAAAGATTTCACAAATTTTTGCTGCATAGAGTGCAATAGTATATTTCACCCCAGCTGTATGGAGAGATCTCAACATATCATCAAGTTGGGTGGTTATCGAATATTCTGTTCTTCTGCCTGCCAGGAAAATGCTAACAAACATGAGGATGAACTGTCAACACTTCAGGAAACGATAGAATCGCTTGAAAAGAAAATTCGAGAGAAGGATAAGTACTTAGAAAGGCTCAAGAGAAACAGTCAAGTTTTCGAAGAAGAAGTCTCCAATGCGGAGAAAACACTGGTTTTACAACTAAAAAAATTAAACAAACGCAACACGGCATTAGAAGAGGAAATTAAGGAAATAAAAAGCAGCAAAGAAAAAATAAATGCTGAACTAGAATCTGCAAGGGACGCAAAGCAGGTTTTAGAAGTAAAAATAAAGGAATTAACTGCCCTTAACAGAGACATGGTTGTCACAATAGAAACGCTGGAAAAGGATAATCAAGCCTATTTAAAAGAGACTAAAGAAATACAGCTTAAACTTCTTAGTATTCAAACTGTTAACAACGTTGAACAACAGTCTTATGAAACAGATATGGATAAAGTTCGTAAGATGTCAGAAAGCATGTTAACATCTATAAAGGTTTTAGAAAGTGAAAATCAGCAATATTCTTGTGAAATTAATAGATTAGAGGACATAATTCGCAAACTAAAATCTGTAAATGCGATTTTACCATTAGAAACAAATCGACACTCTAATGGTGATGCAGGACAGGCTAATGCAAAACCAGAAAATAATTCTCACATACCTTACTCCGAACAAGTGCTCAGAAAGGAGGACAAAAGGAATAAAATATTAATTCTTTGTGACGAAGCTGGTAGAGGTTTAAATGGATTGCTGGAAAAGAAGCTTAAACAAGACTATTGTGTGCAGTGTATAATCAAACCTGGTGCCCCTTATGTGGATGTTATACATAACATGGAACAACTTGTTAAGGACTTTACTAAGTCTGACTGTGTAATTGTTTTGGCTGGATCCAATGAGTTTCAACAAGGTAAAATACCAAAAATTAGGGCTATTTGGGATAGAGTTAAATTTTGTACACAAACAAATATAATATTTTTAGGATACCCTGCTACTGACAAGTTCGTTATTGCCAAAAGAATTAATAGTTTTTTTCAAAAATTTTATTCTTTTGCAAAGAAGGTAAATCAGGTATCAGAAGGTAGATTTTTACTCCTCAACTGTCTGATTAAAGCAAAAAAAGGAAAGAAATTCGAAAATATAGCAGAACTGATAAAGTTAAATTTGAAGGAAAAAAATGAAAAAAATTTGATCTTTGTACCCACAATAAGTAGAGAAGAATTCTTTAATGTTGTTAATAAAACACAACCGTCTACCAGGTCCACACCTAAGACTTCCAATTTAAATTTTTTAGAGCCAATCAGAGCAATAACGAATTCACCGTAGTTTTAATAAATATGCAGTCTATTAGAAGTAAGTTAGCTGAGTTGAATATTTTATTAGATGGTTTAAGCAACCCGACAATAGTATTATTATGTGAACACTGGAGGTTGAAACCATATGAACGGTTAACCTTAGATAATTATGTACTTTTGGACATATTTTGTAGAAAAGCAGGGTACGGGGGTGTAAGTATTATGATTCACAAGGACTTTTATTCTCATTATTTATTTAAAACAGTTGACACTTTTGAAAATCACAAAGAAGAACGCCTATTTGAGTTGTGTGCTGTATATAGTAGTAGCATTAATGTTTATGTTTTGTGTATTTATCGTGCACCATCCAGCAATGTGTCTGATTTTTTGGCAAGGCTCGAATCTGTAATTTCCATTCTCCCTTCTAAATCAAAAATAATTGTTTGTGGTGACTTTAATTTGGATTCCTTGTCTATGGGGGATATTAGCACCATTTTCTTACACAACCTAATTAATTCTTACGGTTTACATCTGCATGTTGACAAACCTACACGTATAACATCCCATTCTTTCACATTAATAGATCATGTAATTTCAAATTTTGACCAAGGATATGTTAAATGTAATGTGACAAATAGCGCACTCTCTGATCACGAGGCGGTATGGTGTAGTTTTGTAATAAATAAAAAAGAGAGAAGGAAAGCAAAAAGGTGGGGTAGATTGTTCACAAGAAAAAATTATGATAGGTTCACGCAACTTGCTTCTTTGGAAAACTGGGGTGATGTGTTGAGCTCTGCAGATCCATTGTCAGGTTTCCACTCTGTTTTAGCTAAAATTTTTAATGCAAGTTTTCCTTTAAAACGTTTAAAACAAAAAACAAAAAAAAGTTGGATTACTAAAGGAATAAGAGTTTCAGCAAAAAATTTAAGATGTGTCCACTATATAAGAAAATTCAATATGTGTAATGAATTTTTTATAAATTATTTCAATAAGTATAGATCAATATATCGTAGAACTATAAACGCAGCTAAGCAATCTTATTATGTAAAGAGAATTGCGTCTTCCTGTAATAAGCAGAAGACAGCTTGGCAAATTGTAAATGAACTTCGAGGAGATAATAAGTGTCTTAAGGAATGTTTTGATTCCAAATTAAACGCTACTGATTTAAATAAGTTTTATTGCAATATAGCCAACCATTTATCAAGCTTAATAAAAAGTAATTTAAATTTTGAAGACTTTTTAAATCATGTAAATATAACTGAAACATTCTTTTTTGTACCCACCAATGAACACGAAATTAAGGAAACAATTTTGGAGCTGAAGGGTAGCAAGGCGCCTGGGTGGGACGGCATTTCCTCTAAAATATTTAACAAACTTCCTGAGAATGCACTTAGGATTCTAGCAGAAGCTATGAACCTCTCTTTTATTACAGGTATTTTTCCCCACTGTTTGAAGATCGCTAATATTGTCCCATTATACAAGGGTGGAAATGAGGAAAGCCCCTCAAACTACAGACCAGTGGCATTGCTGCCAACTTTATCTAAGGTTGTGGAAAAAATAGTTAAAAGGCAAATCCTTAATTTTTTGAAGAAAAAAAATATCTTGACCACAGTGCAATTTGGCTTCCTAGAGAAAAGATCCACCAGTGATGCTATATTCAGTTTTCTGGAGGATCTTTACATGAGGATGAACGATCGACAGGTTGCAGCGGCAGTGTTTTGTGACTTGACAAAAGCTTTCGATTGTGTGAGTCACAGGATATTGCTGCGTAAACTGGAGATTTATGGATTTAGGGGTAAAGGACTAAGTTGGTTTCAATCATATTTGACCAATAGAGTCCAGTCTGTATCTTATAATGGGATAAGATCAAACCAACAGACTCTAAATAGTGGAGTGCCTCAGGGTTGGGTTCTGGAACCAATTTTCTTTTTAGTCTATATTAATGATATTGCAAACCTTAACATTAAAAATTAAAATTTACATTTTTTCGTGCCCAAGGCCAGGGATCCGGATCCAGATCCAGTACCGCAAAGAACGCAAAGAACAGTTATTCAGGCAGAATCAAGAATTGAATCTATGAGCGGAACAAGAATTGTCAACCTTAATGCCAGGAGCATACGACTTAAGTCTTCTGAACTGGAACTTTTCATGCATTCTGAGGGTTACCCTGAGATTGTGTGCATCACTGAAACCTGGATGACAAATACAGAAGCTACATGTTATAAGCTTAACAACTATGAGATAGCTGCCTACTTTTGCAGGGACTCATCGCATGCTGGTGGTGTGGCAGTTTTTGTTAGGACTGACTTTGGTACTCATAAACAACTTGCAGATAAGGACTTCTCATTGTCAAATCATTTTGAGTGTGCTTCAACTATGTTGAAAACCATGAACAATCTGAATATTTTGGTTTGTTGTCTGTATCGTCCTCCTAGTTCTGATTTATTAACTTTCAGTGTCTGCCTTGAAAAATTGTTGAAGTTTGTATGTAAGCGTAGTATTTTTATGTTTTTTTGTGGTGACTTTAACTACGATTTTGATTCTAGATCTAGGGAAGCAATGAACACTGTGAATGCATTCAGCTCGTATGGTCTTGAACAAGCCTTTTTTGAACCTTCTAGAATTCAGGGCACATCACGCACCTTAATTGATAATGTATTTACGAATGTAAATCCGGTGTCGACTAATACATTGGATTTGACTTTTACGGACCACCGAGCACAGATCTTGAGTTTTGATTTGAGTCACCAGGTGAGTGGTGATCCAGTCGAATCTTGTACAGTTACTTCCAGATCCTTTTCTCAGGAAAACATTAACTATTTTAACTTCTTACTATCTAAAGAAGATTGGTTGTCTGCTCTAGAGTCTCTGAAATTAGAAGATAAGTTTACCCATTTTTTCGACACTTTTCGCAGTCTGTTTGACATATGCTTTCCATGCGTAACTAAACGTAAGCCCAATAAAAGGGTGTCTAATTCGTGGATAACGCCCTCAATTATCAATGAAGGTAAACAGTTGAGACATCTTCATATCCAACTAAAATGTCTAGACAACCCCGAATTGCATTTGTCATATAGAGCCAGATTAAGGGATCATAGAAAAAATATAGCCACTGCTAAGAGAACTATTAATTCTCAAAAAATATTAACCTCTAGGAATGTTACGCGAACCGCTTGGAATATCATTAATTCGACTACAGGCTTTTCAAACTGCAAGTCAAAGTCTGTTCCTGATAAGATTACAGCAAACGGCAGGGATGTTACCGGAAGTCTGAACATTGCTAACACCTTCAATGACTTTTTTGTCGAATCAGTAGCTAAACTCCTGGACAATTTTCAGGCACCTACAACCATTAATATGCCGTGCAGTGGAATATCTCAATCTATTTTCTTGTCTCCTCTCACTGAGAGTGAAACTCATGAGATTATTAAATCTGTCTCAGGAAAAAGGTCATATGGTGCTGATGAGATTCCTTGTAATTTATTGTGTGAATGTGCTTCTAATATTCTCCCTGTACTGACCTATCTTCTGAACGTGTCCTTTCAGTTTGGATATTTTCCTAAAGAGCTTAAGGCAGCCATTGTGATACCACTTCACAAAAAGGGTCAGACATCGCTGGTTGAGAACTATAGGCCCATTGCGCTGCTGTCTGTATTCTCTAAGATTTTTGAGAGGTCCTTCGGGAGAAGACTTGTCGCTTTTTTGGACGCTTTTGGCATTCTGTCATGCCGTCAATTTGGATTCAGAGCTGGGCTCTCTACAACGGATGCCATAGTCTCCCTGTATACTGCAATTTTGGATGGTTTCGATGCAAAGCTGAAATCAGTGGGTATTTTCTTCGATTTCACTAAGGCTTTCGATACCATCAACCACAGCATACTTCTAAATAAAATCTTTCACTATGGAATAAGAGGCCCAGCTTACGGGTGGCTGGTATCATATTTGTCAGGTAGAACCCAGGCTGTGAGGATGAATGTTGAGGATCGAGTAGCAATCTCCGATTGGGCAGCCGTTGAAACTGGGGTTCCTCAGGGGAGTGTCCTTGGACCAATCCTATTTTTATTATTTATTAATGACTTGCCTCTTTTGGTTGATGACAGCTTTATCACACTTTTTGCTGATGATACGTCAGCACTCGTCACTGGGCGTGACTATGAATCACTGCACTGGAAGGGCAGCAAATGTGTAGCTGAGATTGCGGGCTGGTGCCAGAGAAATGGACTTTGTTTGAATGGCTTAAAGACCAATTTCATGGTTTTTACTCCGATACGAGTGGTCGAAGATAGAAGCCTACTCCTCAGGGAGGGATCGACTGGCCTGGCTCAGCAGGACTCCTCCAGGTTTTTGGGGATTGTGATCGACAGACATTTGTCTTGGGATGATCAAGTTGAGTCAGTATGCACTAAATTGTCACGTAGCAACTATGCCATCCTACAGCTCAGAGATTTTGTGGATACTTATACTTTAAAAACCTTCTACTTTGCAGCGGTGCATTCTACTCTGGCCTATGGATTGTCCGCTTGGGGCAACTCCTGCGGTGTCGAGAGGGTTTTGATATGTCAAAAACGCATTATCCGAACCATGTTCAGGCTTCCTTTCAGGGAATCATGCCGTGAAACCTTTAGAAGGGAAAAAATACCAACTGTCATAAATATCTATATTTTGCAGTGTGCTTGTCGAGTTTTTAAGAAGTCTGGTGGCTGTGCAAGGTTTGGCGACGTTAATTACTACAGAACGCGTAACGCGGATAAATTGTATGTTCCTTTGGCTAGGTTGTCTCAGGTGCGGGATGGTCCTGAAGTTACATCACTGAGAATTTATAATCATCTGCCTGAACGCATTAAGAGCACTACGGGCTTTCAAATTTTTAAGGGGACTCTTAAGGCCATGCTTGCTGAGTGCCCTTTCTACTCCTTGATTGAGTTTTTCAATCATAACTTCATTTAGATTTTTGTAATTTGATTTTGTTTTTTGTGAATGATATTTTACCTTTATTTTATTTATTTGACAATTCCGATACATTGTACCTATATGTCTATGGAAATAAACGATTTGATTTGATTTGATTTGATTTGAACATTTCTGGAAGCTTTACATTGTTTGCAGATGATGCAACAATTCTCTGGAGTGGTACAGATGAACATATTTTGGTTGAAACCATTAACCACGACCTGTCCTTAATAAAGAACTGGTGTGATTCAAATAAGCTGTGTCTAAATATTTCCAAAACTAATATTATTTCTTTCAAATGTAACCTGGGACCAGTTTATTTGGAAAATCAGATATTAAGTGGCACACCCCAAAGTAAGTTCTTAGGTTTGCATATAGATGGTAGATTGAAGTTTGAATGCCACATTGCAAACCTGAATAAAAAATTGGCATCAAATTGTTATGCTTTAAAAATAATTTCAGGTGAATTAGACGAAAATATTACGAGACAAGCATATTTTGCATTAATAGAATACCATCTACGTTATGGAATATGTTTTTGGGGTTCTTGTGCTAAACAGCTAATGCATACAGTATTCATTTTGCGAGCAATCAAATACATGAACAGGGCCAATTTGAGAGATTCATGCAAACCGCTTTTTGTTGCTAACAATATTTTAACATTACCATCTTTGTTTATTCTTGAAACAGTATCTCTAATTCATAAAAAGTATAGAAACACATTGAACCAACAAGGTTCGTCATCTTATGCCACCAGGCAAACGTATAAAATGTTGTTACCTGTTCCCAGAACCTCCCAAGTACATGACTCTATTGTTTTTAATGGACGTCAACTCTTCAACCATTTGCCTGTCAGTATTAGAGAGATTTATGAGGAAAGGAGATTTAGGAGGGAGGTAAAAAAGTTGCTCGTTGCGAGGGCCTATTATGATATACAAGAATACTTCAATGAAAGATTTTAACCATGATTTAAGCAAAAAAAGGTGTGCTTATGGATACTTTTTACTGTTCTGTGTGCTGTGTGTTTTTTTTTTTACTATGACGTTAAATTGTAAATGTACTGCTTTATTTTTAAATGTAAGATTTTATATTATTTTATTAACTGTTTATTGTTTGTGTTTCAATTTTATAATTATGTAATTTAATGATTCATATATATTTAGACTACGTAAACTAAGTCATATAAGTACACTTTATTGTATTTTTGATTTTGTAGGTTCTGAATTTATTCATTTATTTTTTTTATTTTTTTTTATTATGTACCTACCTTTTTCAGCTTTGTTTACAACATTACTTTGTTTAAAACAATAAAGCATATTTTGATTTGATTTGATTCTTAGAACCAATTTTTGTTAGGTAGGTAGTATGTATTTTGACATTTGTATTTAGACTATCTGTTTAATATATTTTCTATAAGATTAATTTTAAGCATACAGGTATCTGTAATTGGCAATTTGCTGTTGATATCTCATTGAATAAATAAATTAATAAATAAATAAATGATGTTTTAAGTACAAAAAAAAGTATGAACTCTCGTGAAACAAAGTTTATTTAGTTAATTAATTAATTTAAATTCTAAAACATTTTTGTAGGAAAAGGAGAGTCTTCTAAGTAAAATTTCTAGAAACTATCATATCTTCAAATGCAGCAGAGCACAGATATAAATCTGAAATTCAAAAAATATAGTTGTAGTGCACTACTACAAATCCTGCAAATTTTCTCTCATTTTGACTTCAAATTAGAGGATAGTTAGTAGCAATACAAAAGATTCTTCTGCGATTACCCTTAAGGTGTTTGATTTATTTATGATTCCATCTCTGTACCTACCTGCTTCAAGATACGTACAAATTCAGGTCATAATAGTATTCTCAGCAAATCAAAAAAGAGTATTTCTAGTATCAGGCAGTAATACAATAGGTACTAACCAAACTAACTAAATGCATGTTTTCTTGTCTTGCAACCCCGCTTGCAACATTATCATATTTGATTTGAACACACACACACACAAATAAATTAAAATCTTATAATAATTGTTGATGTTGTTTACATGCTAAATGGCTGTAGTCCAAAAGGAAGCAGGTTAATATAATACAGACCTTGATTTCCCTGTCCTTTCATCCGCTGCAAAAAAACAAAAAAGCGAAATTAGTAACATAATTTTTTTAAATAAAAATCTTTGTGATTATTTTAATTTTTTATTTTGTACCTGGTCTGACACGCCTGCTGACATTGACTAAAAGGTTTTCCTTAAATTGTCGCCGCACTAAAACAAAAACTACAGTTAACCAAAGGGCACTACAACTAGGATTTATCGCACTACAATCCGCTCCAATCACTACACAGTTCCGGGACTGTTTTTTTTTTCAGTTTTGAGTTAGGAATTGAAGGGAAAAGTTCACCACCATCCACAATGGAGTTTTTGCACAATGTACATGTAACACCAACCCAACCACACAAAAAAAAGAACCGCGTTTGCGCAGAATCGAATAAATACACTGTTGAGCAGAGACAAGTCAATTTATTTATTTATTTATTTAAAAATTATTATTAAATATAATATTTGGATTGCTCAATTTGTCTTCACTAATTAAACACTTGGAAAAATAACTTTAATATTTATTATTATTTTTTTTTAAATATAACCAACAAATGTCACAGTGGAAGCCACTTGACACTATAGCGATTTCCATTTCATTTGTCCGGTTCGTGCAGAGATTTGAAAATACGCTCCGAGTACACTCGGTACACACCTGTGCAATTCAAAAAGAACGTATTAAAATTTTATTGTATCTTCGTATTATTTTGTATAACTTGACGTTTTTCGCTATTTATTTTTGCTTGTATTAGGAGGAGCAACTGATTAAGCTCTCCGAACTTTGCACTGGAGTAATAAGTTCAGTTCATTGAACTCAGTGCAACAACAACTGACATATGTACCAACATAAAATCTAAAAAAAAAAAAATACATGGTTGAAAAACACAGAACGACACACCCGCATTATTATACTGTTCTCTTTTTATCACATCAACGTAATCTATAGTTTCTTCTTTTTCTATTGTTAAAAGAGCCGATTCCGATTATAAGTGACTAAAAATGGTGGACACTACTACAAATATTTTCCAATTTTAATGTAAATTTAGAGTAGTTTTATTATATAAAGATGAATCAGTTTTAAATGTAGCGATTTTATTTACCGATTTATGTGTGTCGAGTCGCGATTCAAGCATTCGTAAGACGTAGTGCCAGTCATTTTCAGCCCCTGGTAAGTACAAAAGAGATTGAAAAGGATTTTCTTGGCCTTTTATGCCAGGTCCTTGCTTGAACCAGCGCACCCATAGTTTCCTTTTTGGTACTCCACTGATCTGGGCCGGGATTCCGAACCCACGATTCGGATGGTACTATCGAATCGTGGGTTCAAAATCCGGGCGCTGGTATTTAAAATACGGGGAAAAATCACTCGACTAGTCGAGTTCATCATAAGCATAGTCGTCAGTGCTGTACTGCTGCGTGGATCAGCCCAGGGACTCCGTGTCATGTAGAATTTTACATATCGACAGGATTCCATAGGCTCGGCCCTATGTGCGGCATTCGGATATGTTTCGATATAATATGTCGAATTCTACATGGCACGGAGTCTCACCACAGGTTGTATGCAAGATCTACAAAATATTAAGAAAACAATAATAAAAGCTCAGATTGTAATATGATTCTATGACCCAGGTTGAAGACAACATCAATTTGAAACCAAAGACTTTTTGGGATTTTTTCAATAGCAAATAGAACCAGAATCGGGTACCGGATACCAAAAGAAATGGTTTATAATGGTGCATTATGATAATCTGGCTGATAAAGCTAAAATTGCATTTGCACAGTATTTTTAAATTGGTCTGGTCTATGAACTACCTGCGAACTTAGAAAGACCACAATCACACTAATCACAGTTAAGTGAAGACAATGAGTGGTCTGGCTAGCGAAATGGCGAACTGCAAAATAATTTGCTGCTTTGCCAAACTTGACGGAAATTAGAAACAAAATAATAAACAAGTTGGTGATATATTTTTTTTTTGCTATAAGGGCATGTGTAGTATTTTGAAATAGAAAAAAGTCAGGCAACATTGCGAAATGATGGAAGTGGAGAGGCGTGATTATTCAGAAACATAATTCTATTGGTTAGAGCCTGGATGACAGCACGCAGTGGCATGGTTATTGGCAAAACTAGAGAATCTTTTTTCTAATAATATATTGGTTTATTTCCTTGGTGTTCTCGGTGCCACTGAAGTCAAAGACATGGCTGTCATCAGACGGTGTCAGTTGAGGTGTCAGTGAATATTTTTAGGTAACGCCCCAGTTTTCTTGCCCCTTTCGTCTCTACCAAGTTACCACTTGCCAGACTAGCAAGATATTATAAACAGCATCAAAAGGCTGAAACCAAAAAAATCAACAGAATAGTGAATAGTGATAATATACCCTCGAATATAATACTTACCACCTTTCTTAGATTGACTAAAAATTTCTCTAAACCAAACCTGTATTTATTATAATTATTGTGTTAGTTATTCTATCTTTAAATAAATAAATAAATCCAAATTTCCAAGTTTATCTTTGAAGAGAAATGAGAATGATTGAATGATAATATGGACAAAGGTACAGTAAGAATCATTGCAATTGGCACACACACACATCGCCTGTCATGTGTCAAAACTTTACTTCTTTTGGGCTGTTTATTTGTACTTGTTCTACCTGCTCAAAAAAACAGGAAGATTTGCTAGGAGCTGCTATCTGGCAAAATCGTGTCAGATTGAAAAATCAGTGGGAACAAGTTTTAATAAACTGTTGAAGGAAAAAAAAAAAAATTGTACGCCACTGCACTAAATAGATTTATTGGTTAATTATAATAGACAGTTTAGTTTGGTCCCAAAAACTATTTTTTCTACAAACGTCACTAAAAGTGTCATTTTTAACGGATGCTGTCAGTGTCTAAAATGCCATTTTATGACACTGGTGCTAAAAGTGATTACTTTTAGCACTAGTGCTAAAAGTAATCACTTTTAGTGCGTTTCTAGAAAAAATAGTGTATGATATTCGTGCTAAAAGTGATTTTATTTTGTTCAAAGGGATGGAACACTCCGCCTTCAGCGTCGTGTCCCAAACTTCCCTTTTCACAAAATAAAATGTCACTTTTAGCACTTATATCATAAATAACTATTATTTTCTACTCAACTATTATAGATCCATAATACCTAGGAAATGAAATATGTCAACATACCTATAACAACCTGAGGGCGTTATAAGCCCAGCGGGCATTATGATCCATAACGCCCGCTTATAATACCCTGAGGTGTTTTTGTTGTTGTTTTATTAATTTGCACTTTGCCCTAGGCAGCATGCAGCCACTAAATTTCCAATCGAAAATAATTTTCGGTCTGGTCAGGATTCGAACCCGGTCTACCATCAATGTTTCCCATGTAGTCGAGCGTGTTAACCCACACAACCACCGTTGCCTTGCATTATGAGATGTTTATAGCCATTTTATAGCTATATCAATTTATTTCGTTTCTAGGTACAGGTACATGTCAAAATACAAAACAATATTCTGTCACACAGGTTTAACTGATTTTGTTTGATATAATTATTGATGAAAGAACATTGTGTTGAGTAGAAAATAAAGCATTGTATGCACCACGGGGATTTTTAAATTACAATCCCCTTGTATGATCAAAAATGTTGACGCATATAACTATTTATTGAATAATTTAATTTTTTAATAATTACCTTTAAGTACTAGTTTAGTAAAGGTCCTTCACAAAAATATCATGCTTCTTTTTCATAGATAGTTTAGTTTGATCAAATTAGTATTAACAATGGCCTATTGATTAACAAGTATGTTTTTTGTTTTTTATTGTTTTTCAGATTAACTTTTCAGATACTACTACAGGGAATGTTATGAATAGTAATATAACTAGTGCAATGGAAATTATTGATGATTTTTTGGAAATTTGCTCGAATGCATTTATAGTTGAAAAAGAGCACGAGTGCACGTAGTGCACAAGTGCCTTTTTCAGTTAAAAACGCATGAGTGCAAATTTGTCGAAAATTATAAATATATTTCCATTGCACGAGTTGTATTTAATGAAAGAATTTCATAAATCAAAAATTTAAATTTTTTGTCAAAAAATGTCAAAACACCAGTTTTCGCACCAGTTAGTACGCAATTATCTGATAATTTGCACTAGTGCAAATTATCGCGTAATTACAATCTGATTGGTTCAAATCAACAATCAAAACATGTCAATTTATTGTTGGAATACCAGTTTTGACAGATGTATGAAATTCTCAATAATATTAAAAAATTAAACTCTTCAGGTAATGACCAGATTCCAACCTATATTTACAAGGGCCTAGCTGAATATTTGTCCGAGCCTCTAACATTTATTTTCAACCTTGCTCTTGAACAAAATAAGTTTCTGGATTCTGGATGCCTTGAAGTTAGGTATTATTATACCTGTATATAAGGGTGGCAGTAGATATGATATAACTACACAATTATAGACCTATTTCTATATTAAATGTTTTGAGTAAAATATTCGAGATTATTCTTCGCGATGATGTCAATAATTCTCTGCAACAAATTTTCTTTTGTTTTCAACATGGGTTTGTTGCAGACAGGTCGAATGTATCAAACCTTTGCTTTTTTTTGAATATGCCTCAAAAGCAGTTGAAGAGAAGCACCAGCTTGATGTAATAACAGACTGCGATAAGGTTTCTCACAGTATACTGCTCGATAGAATGGCAGACTATGGCGTACCAGAAAAATCACTCCAATTTTTAAAATCATATCTATCAGATCGTTACCAAATGGTCAAAATTGGAAAAACATTTTCTGAGAAGTACGGTGCAACATCGGGGGTACCTCAGGGTAGTATTCTTGGGCCATTGCTTTTTACTTTTTTATTAATACCCTGCCCGATTCTTTGAAGCAATCAGTGGGCCTACTATTTGCAAATGACTTTAAGTTATTCAGAGTGGTGTTTGAAATTGAAGATTGTAATCGGTTACAGGGTGATTGAATTAGAAAAAATTTGCCTTTTTTGATGCCCATTTAAGACTCGTTTACAGTGTTGCCAAATTATTTTTAGTTTATGAAATACAGGGTGATTTCTAAGAAACGCCCAAAACTATTCCATCAATTATTTTGAAAACTATTAATTTTCGAGGCACAATTTAAATTTGAAAGTTTTATAATTTTTTTCGCTCTACAACATAGTGTCATCCAATTTCAAATCCGATGTTTCGTAATCGAGCTACCATCATCAACTTCATTTTTTTAAATACGGACCTGGATTTTTTATGTCATTTTTAGAAAGTGCCTTTTATTCCCTCTGTAAAAATGACATAAAAAGACCAGGTCCGTATTAAAAAAAATTAAGTTGATGATGGAAGCTCGATCACGAAACGTCGGATTTAAAATTTGAAGATGCCATCATGTGCAGCGAAAAAAATTATAAAACTTTCAAATTTAAATTGTGTCTTGAATATCAATAGTTTTCGAAATAGTTGATGAAATAGTTTTTGTCGTTTTTAAGAAATCACCCTGTATTTCATAAACTAAAAGGAATTTGACAACACTGTAAACAAGTTTTGAATGGGCATCAAAAAAGACAACGTTTCTCTAATTTAACCGACCTTGTAGCTCTTACCGTTTCGGATATAGTAATAGTGGTATCACTTAAAATATACACCCTGTATACAGCAAATAAGGCATACAAATGCCTTGGCTTCATCTTAAGAAATGGTAAAGATCTGAGTATGGAAACACTAATTCAACTATACAATGCTCTAGTGAGACCACACTTGGAGTATGCTGCTCAAATCTGGATGCCACCGGCTCAGTGTCATATAAATCACATAGGAAAGAAAAAGTTCAAAAGCGTTTCTTTCTTGTATGTTAGGCAAAAGGGAGGGTCTCATATGGGGCAATGCTAAACTGTTTCCATATAAAATGCCTTGTGAAAAGAAGAAATAAACAAGCTGTGGTATTCATATCTTACTATATAGTCAATAATATAAAGTACAAACATTATAATTTTATTAATTTTATAGATTTTAGGGTATCTAAAATTAACTTAAGGATTCTTAGCATAGATATTTTTAAAACTAGTCAGTATAAACTATCTCCTCTAAAGAAAATGATGGAACAATGCAATATCCAATATCGTAAACAAGGAAAACGACTTTGATATATTCAGCACTAGCCTCTCTTAG